TGGTCCAAATCTCTGAAAAAAAAAAAAAATTAAGCTGTCTTCGTTAAAAGTCTCATGGACCGACAACCCCTCAAAGATGATATTTCAACCTAAGCCACCCAGTATGATCTGTCCCAAAGAGCAATGACATGGGCAGAACACAGGGAAATTCTTTTTTATTGCAATAAAATCAACATCTGTATCACTATATTGTAAGTGTTAAAATAAAAATATGAAAGGCAGCAACTGTTGTCAGATATATAGGCTCACTGGATAGAATGATTAAATAGTCAAAAAAAGAGCTGACCACATTATCTGCACTATAATTATCCTTATAAGGTCAGATTTAATTAAAATAATTAGTGCCACTGTTGATCAAATTACAAGTTTTTTCTATTTAGTGTGCAGCACTGAACTTCGCTATTTTCAGATAGTATAAGTTATGTTACTTAAATTATCTAATAGTTTCTTCTTTGGAATATTTGTACTATATCCTATATATACTAAAAAATAAAACTGATTTAAAACTCAAAAGTAATACTACACTATATGTTTGACTGTATTGACTAATATAAAATCTGATCAATATTCATAAAATCTATATAGAATAAGATATATATTCTAGTTAGTATGGCTCAAGAATGATAAACTCCAATGCAGATTTAGCCGTTTTTCATCATGTCATACTTGCAGATTTTTTTTTTTTTTTTTTCACTGGTATAAGGAGAAGATTGACATTTGTAAACAATATGTTTTTCTTGTTGGAGCAAAATGAAATCTACAAATGGGAAACTGCAGTTAATGCATCCCTAATTGCTTTAGGGAAAATTAGTAAGGAAATTTTCACTGTGACCAGAGTTGCACTCAAAACAGCCCAGCACTGAACTAAGGTCAAACACTGGGGTTCAGAGTCTACCCTTTCACAAATTTCATTCTGGATGATCCAGTAGACTCTCAAACTCATTTGGCGTCTAGTGGCTGAAGGAAGTGAGTGTTTGTAGGGTCCAATACTGCCTCAAGTATGACCTCTCTTATGAACACTACCAGCTGTGATGAAAATCATTGCACACCAAGAAACAAAGACAGAAAAGTTATGTTTTGTAAGAAATATTTGAATTTGGACCTGAAGAGATGAGCACAGGTGTTGTGGACGGATAAGGTGAATTTTATAATGACTGGAAACAGAGTAAGGGAGGTGTGGATGTGGCTAGATATCCATTCTGGTCCATGGATCACCTAGTCCTGCTGAGGAACGTGAATGAATGAGGGCTGCTTCTTAGAGCTCCTTACAGAATACCATGAGAACTGCTTTGGTTGCTGTTCACTATGTTCCAACAAGACAGTGCACCGGCCCACATATCAAAATTAATAAAGGACTGGCTTGAATGGGTTTGGTGTTCACTATATCAGAGACTGGCATATGAATTCCCCACATCATATCCCAATTGAGAACACCATGCTCATGAAAAAGTGCCTGAAGGCGAGGGACATTTCAACTGTGTCCAAGCTCAAGGAGCACCTCCATGACATATGGGGCAACCTTGAGCCCAGTCTCCTTCAGAAGTTGGTGGAATCTGTCCCAACCACATGGCAAATTATGTGAAGGGTAAGGGACTTGCCGCTTTTTGCTAAATCCAGTGGGTACTTCCTCCTCTTCTATTCTTTTTATGTGCCAATAGCTTTAAACTGTTGTAAGCAGAAAAGTGCAAAGAATATATTTCTTAAAATGTTTATTGGTTTAAGCAAATAAATGTACTAGACATCAAAGGTCATATAGCACACTGGTAAAGCATTGTGATGAAAAGGGTGAAAATGAGTTAACAATTAGGATAAGTGGACTGAAGAAGGGGGATGAAGAAGAGAAAGGAAAGGGAAATGGGGACAAGAAAAGACTATACAAAATTAGTTGAGGCAAGGGCTGAGGTCCATATATTGGGACTCAGTACCTGTCCCCCATGAAAACAACGAAAAAGGGATGGGGCTGGTATTTCTTACAGAAACAAAAGAAAGTTCTGAATGGTCATTTGCTCTTCTTAGTTGCCATCTTGGTCAAATAGTTGACTCACTTCCATTAGTCTGAAGGCATACTAATGTAAAGGAACATAGATTTTATAAGTGGGCAAGACATCTCAGAAAAGGAATATACACTAGAGCGAGTTTTCTGTCATTATTAATAAAAATAATTAGTTATATAAGTGACTATATACATATAAAGCTTTAGATGTCACACCAGAACCCTATAACAAGGAATGGTAGATCCTGGTATCATGAGAAAGGAATCTGGGTGCTCCTCCCTAAATGATTTATGAACTGCTCAGGAACTTGAGTTCCCCTTCCCCCCCAAGTAGAGTAATGAAAGAAAGAAATAGAGGAAGATAAAGTAAGAACAGGAAGAGTTCCAGACCTCAGACTTCAAGGTGTAACACCCAGACTATTGACCTGACTGGAATTTCTTTTATAATAATTCAGTTACCTAAGGATTTGTGGATTTGCCTGTCCTAGTGTATTGAAAGACTACCAGCAGTTTCTACTTCTAATTCTGTTAAAAATATTTCATGTAAATTTCTTTCAATGTTTGATTTGATGTTCAGTTTGAGAAAAAAAAACAATTGATAATTTCTTATTCAATTAAAGTTCAAAGAGCATACCAGAGAGGAGTAAATCTATTACTGTGTTTGGGTAATGATTTTCATTAAACAATCTATTTACAGCACACTTTTATTAACATACAACAAACTTCAGACAGTGCTGAAACATTGGTGAAGCATATATATTTCCTTTTTTAGAAGATTTCCCTTTTTCCTGTAGTTACAAGATGATATTATAGATTAAAAAAAAAGGTTATTTGGTATATAATTCTATTTCCTGTAACATATGATGCCTAATTTTGAAAATTTGTTGTTTTTTATATAAGAAACAAGTAGATCAAATCTAAATATAAAGGAAAAATAATATTTCTCTGAATATAATTTTTCTTACCTTTTGAAGTAATATTCTGTAGTTTTTAAAATAAACTGACTAATATGAAAATAAGTACATTTACAATATTGATAAATAATGCAATGCCATCTTTAAAGATGTATTTCAGAAAGTGTGTATGTGGATGAGGGGAGTGAGTGAGTGAGTGAGTGAGTGAGTGAGTGAGTGAGTGAATGAGTGAGTGTGTGTGTGTGTGTGTGTGTGTGTGTGTGTGTGTGTGTGTGTGTGTGTGTGTGTGTGTGTGTGTGTGTGTGTGTGTGTGTGTGTGTGTGTGTGTGTGTGAATGAGTGTGTGTGTGTGTGTGTGTGTGTGTGTGTGTGTGTGTGTGTGTGTGTGTGTGTGTGTGTGTGTGTGTGTGTGTGTGTGTGTGTGTGTGTGTGTGTGTGTGTGTGTGTGTTAGTGAGTGAGTGAATGAGTGAGTGTGAGTGTGTGAGTGAGTGAGTGAGTGTGTGAGTGAGTGTGTGAGTGAGTGAGTGAGTGAGTGAGTGAGTGAGTGAGTGAGTGAGTGAGTGTGTGTGTGTGTGTGTGTGTGTGTGTGTGTGTGTGTGTGTGTGTGTGTGTGTGTGTGTGTGTGTGTGTTGTGAGTGAGTGAGTGAGTGAGTGAGTGAGTGAGTGAGTGAGTGAGTGAGTGAGAAAGAGAGAGAGAGAGAGAGAGAGAGAGAGAGAGAGAGAGAGAGAGAGAGAGAGAGAGAGAGAGAGAGAGAGAGAGAGAGAGAGAGAGAGAGAGAATGAGAGAGTGAGTGAGTAAGTGTGTGTGTGTGTACATATGCTTGTGTGTTAGTAAATAAAAAGCCAATATTTTTTGTAACACAAATGCTTTCCAAAATAGGTCAGTCCCAGAGTAGGAATACCAAAGGGTGTTTTCATCTGTATAAGACTTCATTCATCAACTTGGGGAAGGCATTTTTACACTTCCATGTCCACATATAACATTACCAAGTATATGTATATATGTATCATTAACAGATTTATTGATGGTTGGAAAAAAATCTAGTACATTGAGGAAAAAACTTGCTTCACAGCTTATTTCACAAAACTAAAAAGCTACAAGTTGTACTACAATCAAAGACAAATCTATTTACAGAATCACATGAAAAAGTAGCAAAGTTATAAAAAATATGGTTATTATACACTATGATATGTGTAATTAAGTTTTGATGCTTTTTGTTGGTTTGGAGAACCAACACAATTTGTTTTGAACAAAACAAAATAAATAGTACAAATATTAATACGTAGAAAAATAATCTTAAATTATGGCACACATGAGTTTTAAAATTAATGGTGGGTTATATTTGGCAAGAACTGAAAAAAATGCACCTGACATTCATTCATGCCAATAACACCATACAATAAAAAAGCCGAAATATACAAAATGCATTGAAATAAAAAGCACCTGACTTTCAAATACAAAAGAAAAGTACATTAAGTTTTCATTATGACTACCATGAAATAAAAAAAAAATAAAAAAAAAGTGCTCCACATACAAGTTAACTTTCTTATTAATTTTCACATCACTAAAGGGAATAACACTAAATATCATTCTTCATTCACATTCAAAGTCTGTTCAACTATTCATGTTTTCCCTTTCCTTTTTCCTTTTGGGGAAGAGAATTTTTTCTCTGAACTGTAAAATATCAATCTAAATGACACTAAACTGATTTTTCTTCCATAAGATAATACTTTTTCCTGTAAAATATTTCAGAGACAAAAAATTTCTCTCTTACTGTACACTAAGAATCTATGATACACACATTGTATCTGAATTACAACCAGAAAAATGTCTTATTTGTTTCCTCTTTCCTTTTCTATATTTTATTTTAGCCTAAGTAGTAACTCTCAAAGGAGACTATTGGTTATATCTCAAAATTATTTATTGCAGAACACAGATCACATGGCCCTTGGTCCAAGTATCCAGACATATGTTATAATAATGAACACTCAATGCTTCACACTTGTCTCTTGCAAGTAAATCAAAGGGGCTATTTCACAGCCAGGAACATTTTAAACTTTAGTCACAAATATTACTTAAGGCATTGCTACCC